GCCAGGGACCTGTCTCCTGGCTACCTGCAGTGCTGTCAGCTGTATATTCAGTATGCTACTTGTATTTCAGAATTCTAGAATCTGTTTCTCCTTCAGCATCATATGTACATGTTTATATACAATGTTTGTCGTCAGTACAGCTATGGCGAGTAGCAGTGTAATCTTCCACCTCTTATCCATGTGTTAGCACTTAGCACGTCTGTCACCTAAAAACGAGGAATCGCTCTTCCTTGTATTCACAGTTATTCTCTGTAAAAAATCCTAAATAATTCTAGCCATTTATTCAGTATTCTTATCCTTCACTTATGAAACCTTTTAAATGATTGTGGAAACAGCGCTGCGTGGAGGAAATTCTATTTTGTCAGTATCTACTACTTGTAGTCGTGTTGCTGGTGTGATGAGGTCAGCCAGAGAGCGCATGTGGTGCAGGTGGAATTACGTCATTGATGAGCAGGTAGAATTACGTCATTGATAAACAGGTAGAATTACGTCATTGATAAACAGGTCGCAGGCTGCTGATTTCCTTTATAGTATACATGTAGGAACGAAAGGTTAGGCAAAGATGAAGCAAGTAATTAGTTACAAAGAATGAGGTGAGAAACGTAATGTAGACAGCCATCATGTCACCAGGAATACTGTTATTTAACATAGTAATCTGGTCTGATATGTCAAACACATGCAGTGTGATACTAGAGTATAGTCACGTGATACCTGTGTACTGTATGTAATGTATCATGCGTGTTTTGAACAGGTAGAGCTGAGCAATGACACGGATCATACTGGCTACAGTTCTGTCTGGTGTTGAAGAACTGCGGGTTCAGGGTCCGTGTAGCTTAGACCCTTCCTATTTTTACTCATGCAGAACTGTCTACGCAGTTGAGCCACCGTGTACTATACTCTGTAGACTATCGTACACCTGGTAAAATTCTACTCTATTCAATCTTCGACGGCCGACAGTAGATCTACTGTCAATCTGTAGTGTGTTCCATACGGACCATAACTGAGGGGAGGGGGGGGGGGGGGGGGGCTTTTGTACTACTTCGAAGTAAACTATACAGCAAAGTGTTTAACATAATAAATGCGGTGTGTGTTTCTAAGAACTCTCCAACTGTACTGCAACGTTTTCCTTCCACTTGTAATCACTTCCTTGCCCGAACCTTCGACTCTGCTAACCTGCAAGAAAGCACCACTCCCTGCTCAGCTAGGCAGTAGGAAGTGATGATTTCTTTCAGGTTTGCAGAGTCGAAGGTTCGATGGACTTCTCGCGTGTGCTTCGGATGGCAGTCGTGAGTCAGTCAAGTGTCAAGTCAAGTCGGCGGAATAGCGCGAGCTCCAGTGTCGGGAGCAAACCCTTTCCTAACAATCATCGCCGGAGTCGCAACCACTATTCCGTACTGTTGTGCCAAGCGCAGGCTTGCGACTAGTTGGCTTAGAGGTGACAGGGTTGTGGTCCTCGACGTCTGCTCTCGCCGTCCAGGAGCGACACTGACTCACGCTGCTATCTGGTGGTCACGAGATGTTTGTCGAGCTGTAAGTAAGTTTGCATCCCTGGTGATGTTTGGGCTGGAGAGCACTATGTAAGTGATCCTCTCCAGGCACAATCTTCTCCAGCCTACTCAAGCCAGTGTGGGGAGCAAAGCCTTTCCTAACAACCATGTGCCGAAGTCGCTACCACTGTTTCGTATTACAGTGCACGAGCGTCCAATATTTAGCGATCATTTAGTGCTCTGTGTTCCACCTTTTCGAAAACCGTCATTTAGTGCTCGTTTTTGTGTCTGCAGTAAGTCCCCAGGACTAGTCGTAACCTAATCCGATCAGATCTGTATAATTATACTGTTGAGCCACAGTGTAAAAAAGGGATTCCTGCACCTGGTAAAATTCTAGCCTATTCATTCTTCGACGGTCGACAGTACGAGTACTGTCTGCAGTGTAGGGTGTTGTTCCAAAGCTGAGCACCCTGGAATGCAAAGCAACCCTTGCCGTAGCTGATGTGAGCTGGAGTCACGTGCGTTCCATTGTGGATAGCAGCCTGGTTGGACAGCCGCTGGACCAGGCGGCTAGAAGTGCTAGAAGCCCAGGGTTTGCGCCGCGGCCATGGCTGACAGCACCAAACAAGCGAAATTAAATTTTGCCTGAACGGATCCCAACCACGATCCCAACCACGCAGACAGGATAAAAAGAAAGAAAACAAAAGACTGCAGGTTTGGAAGAAAGTTACGTAGTCGTTGGAAAGTGTGGTGCGTGGGCAGTGTCTACTGATGTTGCTCAGTGCAGATCATCTGCTAGTCAGTCCCGGAGTGAGCTGTACTACCGGCGCTGAGAGCCGGACTCACACCACTGCATGTCTACTGATGTTGCTCAGTGCAGATCACCTGCTAGTCAGTCCCGGGATGAGCTGTACTCCCGGTACTGAGAGGCGGGCTCACACCCCGGCATGTCTACTGATGTTGCTCAGTGCAGATCACCTGCTACTGTAGTAAGTGACACATACGTTCACGGATGGGAGTCTGTTGGTCCTATAGTCTAGCTAGTAATAGAAGAGAGTCTGATGCTCCTGTCATGCAAGCTCACGGACAAGACACTGATTTCTGTATAATAATCCTGTTCTCCAGCTCATGCCAGTCATTAACAGGACGGTGGAGTCCCAGTTCTCTTGCAAGTTAGTTTAGAAAATAGATAAAAATTTAATTAATGCAAGCGTGTCACGTGACAGTAGTTGCAGGACTGGCAGCACACTTGGCAACAGACAGCGGGTCAAGTGACAGTCAATCATTACCTTTCAAGCGACCACGCACACACACAGTACATGGATTATAGCGTAGGAAAGTTAGTTGCTACTACAACTACCACTAATACGGAGGATTAGCAAGACGAAATTTGCGTTCGCGTTCGCTCTCCAGGGAAAGTCGAACTCAGTGACGGAATTCGCGTTATGAGAAGGATTAGCAGACAGAATTCGCACTTGCATGACGTTGACACGACGTACATTGCGTACAGACAATACAGCGTGGTAAATTTATGACTGCCCTGGCACGAACCCGCGATCCTGTTCCGACTACTTTTCCGAACGAAAAATGCGAAAGTACGCAATCCAGTTCGCGAACTGAAAAATATTTGCGAACGCGAACGCGAATTTCGTCTTGCTAATCCTCCGTACTGATTACTGTGCTGTGCCTGGCAGTGCAATGCATGTGACGACACTGCTGCTACAGGTACTGATGTTAGCAGCACTGCGGGCAGTGCGGCTGGTTGTGCTACTGCTGTTCATGATACTGTTTATACGTGAACCAGTGTGTAAGGTGTAGTCTGAGTTTGAGTTGGCTGTCTAATGTCTGCTGGTCAATCATGACAGGTGCATTCTGCAAAATGACAAGAGAGACGCCTTTGTGACGTCAAAGACTGTCGACATGTCTATGACTCAAGACCGATCAGCTCTGAAGACGGGACACACACACACACACACACACACACACACACACACACACACACACACACACACACACACACACACACACAATGCACTACAGTAGACAGTGCTGTAGAGTGTTGCAGTATAGAACAGGACAGTTACAGTAGCAAGGGAGAAACCGTTGAACCTACTCGCACACACTCATACAGTAGAATGGGGCTGTTAAGTGTGACGTCACGGCCCCTTCGATACGCATAGCAACGGAGAGCACTGGGGACAAACAAAAGTCGCGTCCTCTGGATGGAACCAGTTGTGAAGGGCAACAGCATCTAAATGACTGGAGAGAGAACAGTTTTTCTTTGCTTTTTCGTCAAGCGATTGTTGTCGCTCTTTACTCCTTGTTCTTTCCTCTACAAATCTCCTGTAGTCGTCGAGGGCCTTCATAATGGCTGTGAAATTGGCTGCCCACTGTAAAACTCCGTGTTTGAGAGTGCTTTGAAGATTCTTCGCCTCCTGATGGATCAAAGTACGAGCGCTCCCTGTGGATTCGATTATATGTAGGTGAGTTGTTCAAGAAATCAGTGTCTTCTTTCTGTCTCTGCCCTCACGCTGGCACAATATCAGCCTCTATATCCATGACAGCCCGCACCTCCCGTAGACTGCATGACTTAGCTGTATTCTCGCCCTCCGTGGTGATTGAAGACCCATGGAAGAAGTTGTTCAGAATGATGTGCTGAGAATATAAAATAAAATAATTCCAGGGAATTGTTCCAGGGTATTTTGGAAGGATGGAGAGAGAGAGAGAGAGAGAGCACTGTTTGAAGTGTTTGTCTCACTGTAATTACTCCAGATTATTGAATGGTGTATGATCTACTCGATATTTTCCGCAATGGTTTTTCCTGATTTGCGGGATCTCTTCTTTTGCTGTTTGCGTGTTTACAGGAAGTGACTGTCTGATGTATCTGCACCAGATCCTGGGGAAATGAAGTCAGATGCAAAGGCAGGGTCGTCCAGTGATGCAACACTGCCGTTCTATGTGCAACGTCACCGCTAATTCCCCCGGCGAAAACACAAACACGTGAAGAGACTACAGTATTGACCGTTCTGGTAATGAATCGTGACTGCTCGGACAGTCGATAATCGAAACACAGAGCACCAGCATGATGTTTTCATATTGGGAACCACACACCAGCTCAATTCTCAAGCCCAAAAATTGATTAATACAAAACACAGAGCGACGCAACAAGAGATCATCCGGCAACCAAACCAACCTGGGTCTGGTGCACTGAATAGTCTTGAAATACGCAGGCCACACAAAGCAGTGCAAGCACAGACTGTTACAAGGTACATGCATTGCAGAACAAAGTGTAACCAAAGATACACAGGGTTATAGCTGCACACTCGTGCATGTGCTCGCTCAGCCAAAGAACACACAGGATGATAGAAATAATCCGGGGGAAACACGCTAATGTCATGACCGGGGAGTGGGCCAGACATACTCTCAGGATTCTACAATTCCAGGTTCTTTACGGAAATATACCAGGAGTCCAGATACCCATTCCTCACCCTCACCACACAAGAAGACCAAAGCTTCACTCTAGGACCAAGCTCAAACAACAGAGAAGCAACAAGAACAACAACAACCAGCGATCGATGCAAAGCATCGAGCTATATACTACAAGACCTAGTAGCGTGCACGGCGCGGAGCGAGCAAGTAGCCAGCAAAGCATGAATAGTGATAGGTTTCACAACACTATTGATCGACAAGACACATCGCCGCCATGGCAAACACTTCATAAAGACACATGTATAAGCAGACGGAATACAATACAGATAATGACATTGTAGCAACACACGGACACAACACTAGCACCGAAGTAAGCATCAAGACGTAAATAGTGCAGCTCTGAAAAAGTAAAAACTACATTGACATGTACATTGGTGTGCCGAGTAGTATCATCCTTGATCACCCATCCAACCAAGACGTTATCAGGTCCGAGACGCCGAGATCCCACGCCGAATGTGAAGTGCATCTAGCCTTGAACCTGTTGCACAAGGCACACACATATGACAAAAAATGACATCCACTCCGATTATTTCCAGAGGCCAATCATAACAGAACACAGAAATGAAACCACGGGCTCAACAAAGTAAACGCAAAGGAAATTAGTTAAAATAATCCATGAAGTGCTATTTTAATTCCAGCGCTGACTGCAGTGTGGCGTCATGGCCCGATACCCGCTGAGCATAGACACAAACTCCATTTGACAGGGGCACGACATACTATTTTGGAATAAAGTCACAGGGGCGTAGCACCCGCTACGACTGGTACGACCATGGCCGCACCACTTTTCGAAAAGTGTGGTCCGTCTGGAACGTGCAAAACCGTAATAAAAAAATCAGGATCCATCGATATTTGCATATGCGCATCAGACCTTTTTCTAGACTCGTAGATCTGTTATGCATCTGCAGTCGTACTGAGTACTGTACTCGACTCGACTGCACACTGCGCCAGAATTCCCGGGGGGGGGGGGTCCGGACCCCCTCCAACACGGCCTTCCGCCGCACCGACCTTCGGTCGTACCACTTCCAAAACCCCTCCTACGCCCCTGAGTCATAAAGTACAGCACTCCAATGACATGACGGACACCTCGTGCAAATGCGTGGTCTGTTCATCCGGCCAACTCGGCCACGCATGAGAGTGTGTGCATGTACGCGCGCACGCAAGCGCGCACGTGCACACACACCATGTATTCGGTGCGTATGGCGTACCTGTTGCGGAGATAATGAAGATGGAATCATTATCATGATGTTACATGTACATGTACAGTGTATGTTTGAGTGTAAAGTAAATTTTATTTTATTACACATTTCTTCGACACAACTTACTCCACATCTTCGCATTTCTCATAATCCATCCATCTACACTCCGTCTCAGTTGAGGAAAAATTCTCCCAGGTATACACTAGTCACCACAGCCATGTGATGACATTGGGATGGGTCCCAAGCACGATTGCACTCTCCAGTTACAATATAATTTATTTGTCCAGATTATCTGTGAAGACAAAATGCAATGCATAGCGGCAATCGATGGATGAAGAGAGAGTTTGTAAATACTAAACATATGTTGGACTCAGTAGAGCGTCCAGCCCCTATATGATGTCCAACCCCTATATAGAGTCCATTGGTCCAAAATCCACTGTACAGAGTCCAAACTTGGAATCAACTGTGAGCTCAAAGTTTAGATGGACATCACTCCCTGTATAGAGTCCAGCCAATTGGCTTCACCCCTATATAGAGTCCATTGGTCCAAAATCAACTGTATGGAGTCCAAACTTTGAAATCAACTATAAGGAGTCTTTACAACACTCCCTGTATAAAGTCCAGCGAATTAGGCATCCCCTATCCAGAGTTCGAAATTAGACAAAGGATCTGCTGTAAGCAGTGAATATTAACCAGAAAACGGCCTCTTCCTTTAATCCTTTACATCATTCACTTCTCAAGATAAAAAATAAGTATTGAGGCGCCACTGCAGCCACTTCATTACATGAAAAACCCTACAAACACCATCCTCAAATCAAGTGGTCTTTTCGCAGACACTGCAAATTACAATATCTCAATCATGTAGTGTTGCCAAATTATTGTGCACGCACACACACACACACACATGCACATACCCACACAACGCCAAGAAAATACCTAGAAAAAACCCAAGAATCGAAAGAGAATAATGGAGAGCCAAGGATTAATTATTTGTTTTCAAATTATTGTGCACGCGCACGCACGCACACAAACACACACACACACACACAAACTTATACAACGCCAGGAAAACAGCAAGAAAAGAGTAGAGACACAATACACACGTAACTCCAACAGCCATGCAAACGTCCACCCATTTACACGTAAAGTCAAGAGGGATAACAAATAATTATACGAAACGAATGCATACATGGGCGGATGCGCGCACGTTTACATACGTGTAGTAGCGTAAGAGAGTAACATAGTGCAGTAGTCAGCATAATACTAGGACATGCTGAGAGTGCAATAGCAAGCTTCACCATTGCTCATGGCCATGCAAATGTTCAGCAGCACTCAGTTCCGCAATCTTCTGAATCAGCACACCTGCAACAAATAGATAGCACAAGGATACGCGTATTACCGTAATGATGCATGGAAGCACACAACTACCAAGTTCTCAACGAATCCATCCACTCAAAGACCTGTGAACAGGTGACGGTGGGGACAATAATCTATTAGTAATACGAGGAATAATGTAAGACATGTATACTATTACGAGGAAGCAAATCTAACGTTTTAACGGATGACATTTCTTCAAGATCCGTTGAGGCCGTACTGATTCATATTATGCTGTGTGTGGATATGGCAGAATACTGCAAGATCGTTAACATATCTTCTCGTTAACCTATGAATTTTGGACAATCGTTAAATTTGCGACTCGTTATAATAACATGTCTTACAGTAAGATCGTTTGTGCACACTCAAGATGCACAGACACACCACCATACATGTAGTGTACACAGTGTTTCACTTCACTGCAACTAAATTGAAATGAGATGATTTGAACAATCTGTACAGCGTTGCCGTCAGTCAGTCTTCCCCAAGATGGAAATGCAATGATTTGTTGTCACGAGGCAGTTTCACTGACACAATGTCATGTTTGTGACATCAAAACGGTTACTTCATGGAATACGAGTACCGTAAAGTACCGCCAGAGCGCCCCGTCTCGCGAGAGCGCCCCACCTTGATTTTACAGCCAAGGGAAGAAAATCGTATGGCAGAATGCTACTAAGTTTGTACGATGTGAGAACCTTCGTGCGCGCGTGTACTAAGGTCACACTAACTTGGTATGCTTTTATGTGGAGCTCGAAGGTAAACTGGGTACGGATTGACTGCACAATGTGCAATGTTTGTACAAGGTCCGTGTCGTATGACCTACAGACAGGAATCCACCTCCACAAGGCGGCCACGAAAGGACGAGATGGTGGGGCGCTCTGGCGGTACTTTACGGTACATGTATTAGCTTGAGAAGCTTTTTCTTGTCATCGGCATACGAGAAATCCTCCTACTACTACTACTAGTACACTGGCACTGCGTTTGTGGATCCCATTGTATTTGACATCATACTAGAGCCTAGTAGAGGAAGAGTGTCGTGGAGTTCACATAATTATCACAGGGATAAAAATACATTTCTCATGAAATAAAATAATAATTGATGATAGCTAGACGATCGTATACGATTGATGCAAAGTCCTCGCAGTCCTTGAGGACTATTACGAAGTGGTTGATTACTTTTAGGGCATTCATTCAAGCAACATCAAACAAACGCGATACGATCCTTGAAAATGGAAAAAAATTCAAGCATAACGACAGAACAGCAGACCAATCGAAACGAGTAAAAGCTTCCTTACCTCAGACATCGTCCTGCCATGTAGTTGGACAGCCTTTTGACACGGTGGTACAGGCAGCTCTTGTCCAGTCAAACAGGGTATCCTTGTGGCGTCGAACGAAAGAGAGTGTCAGTGTATCTGACTCGTCAGATTGGAAGTGTGCTGAACTTTTCTCGTTCTCCGCTTTCTGCTTTCATCCCTCGCTCTGATGAAACTGTTCAAACGCCTTACTGGCAGCAATGGCCAGCCAAACAGGGGATCCTTGTGGCGTCGAACGAAAGAGAGTGTCAGTGTACCTGACTCGTCAGATTTGAACTGTGCTGAACATTTCTCGTTCTGCAATTTCTGCTTTCATCCCGCGCACTGATGAAACGTCTTCAGAGAACCACAAGACGCTTTCCAGATTTGATTTTGAACGTCTCCTTATCCTGCTTGGTTACCTCGAGACAGATTACTGTCAGCAACTGCACAGCAGAACTGGCAGCCATGGCTGAAGTGAAGAAAGGAATGCGCTGCCACGAGGCAAGCAAAACTGAAAAGGTGTTTGTCGTGACTTCAGTTTCGGGCACAACACACAGGACGGCGTGACTGGATAAACTGGACCCCTGGACCGTGAATAGGGGACTTGTAGAAAAAGTGTACTCCTTATAGGGGATTGCGCGGCAGGATGAAGCTGATCAAAACTGAGTGGACTCCTGGACTCTGTATAGTGGATTTTGGACCAATGGACTCTATATAGGGTGCTGGACATCATATAGTGCATGGACTCTATACTGAGTCCTACACATATCTTTCCACTTGTTCAGGAGCTTACCTTTTGGAGTTCACATCGTTTACACGATCTCTTATGCTGTCTTGCACCTTGGCTTTGTTGACCATGGATACGCCATCCCAGAGGACATTCTACAGGAGCTACTAATGCAGAGCGTTTTTCACGCTCGATCTCGGCGATCTACCTCGTCACGCCAATAAAATCCTCCGTGACACTGGCTACAGTCACAAGAGACGTCTCAGTAAGGTAATGAGCACGACAACGCCGTCGAGATCAAGGACAAAGAGAAAACAAAACACTCACTGAAAACAGCAAAGAAGAAACGAAGAAATGTACACGATTCCTATATGTTGCCACTGACAACTGGTTCGGTGGAGACGACGCTACTTTTGTTTGTCCCCAGTGGGATCGTTGCTATGCGTATCGAAGGAACTGTGACGTCATCACTTAACAGCCCCATAGTAGCTACTGGCTGTAGCATTGTCAGCAGCTGTAGTACTAGTAGTAGTAGTACAGTCACGGGTAGTGGTGTTGTAGTAGCAAGAGCAAGACTGCTGTGTGTTTGTCAGAGTTTGAATGAAATTATCAACTGACCGTCTACAGTATCACTCCTAGCAGAATACTGAAGAAGAATATGATACAATTTGCGCACCAGCCATAGCTATAGATTAGACGTGTGTGTGTGCTGGTTAGTTGCTTGTTCTAGTCTGCATATCTGGTACACTCACATCTATCACTGCTAGTTTAGAGTAAGTCACCGTCAACTGTAGCTGCGGCTGCTCAAGCAGCTGTGGGCTACCATGAAGAGATCTTGCCCATCACCAAACCAGGGCAGACCTCAGACAAAGAGACCGCAAAGATGGAGGGTGTCTTCGCTGCCAAAGGCTGTCAGACAGCTGCGTGATTCGTTATGTGCAATTTACACCAATGTCCGTACTCCTGTCGAAGACAGCAGCACAGAGGAGGTGAGAAGTTTGGGCATGGATGAGATCTACGCAAACTTGCATGTTGTCTCACTTGAAGAGCTTAGTGCAAGAGTGCAGCAGCTGAATGCTGACAAGCTAGGCAGCAGTGCTGGTATTGAGCAGCTCACACACTCCCTTGCTTCAGCTGCAAAGAAACTGCACAAAATAAAGCTGGCCAACATCCTCAAAGCAAAGAAGTCCATGAGACTAGCCCCGCGGAGGGAAACGTTCCGCACCATTGCCCTCTCTTGCGCTGGTGGGGGGAAGACGTTGCTGTTTACCAAGAAAGGTCCTTACGACTGGGCACTGGGTCGCATTTGGCAAGATATGGCTCTGGTGTTCGCCCTTGAACTCCGCTTGCCTTCCGTGCGCCAAGCTACGTGTGCTGCTGAGCTTCTGGCTTTGAGGAGTCACGACATCATCTCGGATACTGATCAATCTGAGATCTGTGCGTACGTGAAAGCCCATCCAGAGAGAGTCTGCATCATACTTGATGGTTTGGACGAAACGAAACTAGACGAGTGCAGCCCGTACGTCCAGGATGTCATCGCCGGAAAACGCTTGCCAGGTGTGCGCCTCATCATAACGTCACGCCATTCCACGGAGGCAATGAATCTCATCCACAACCCAGAGGTTGTATTCCACCGACGCGTCGAGCTCTTGGGTTTCGAGCAGAAGGAGTTAGAGAAGTACGTCCACAAGGTCCTCTCAGCTGAGAAAGCGTGCAGTCTGCTGGACAAGCTGAAGAGGAATCCTCAACTGGCTGCAATCATGCGCACTCCACTGTACGCTACCAGCATATGCCAGCTCTATTCCAACCAGCGAGACATACCCGATACGCTAGGCAAGATCTTCAACTCCATGATACTCAACGCTATCCAACCAAAGACGGAGAAAGGCCTGAAGAAGACTGAACCATACGAGAAGTTGAATGATGTCCCTGACGGAATCCAGAACAGCCTCCTTGATCTCGCCAAGTTCGCTTTCCACATGCTCATCCGGCGGAAGGTCGTCTTCACGGAGGCTGATTTCAGCATGTTTTCACTATCATCAGCAGCTCGTTCACTTGGTCTTCTCATTGCCTGTGATAAGCCACTGTCACAGGCCCATCCTCAATGGCGTTTCAGCCATCTGGCACTACAGGAAGCTCTAGCATCTCGCTACTTCGCTAGCCGCAGTCCAAGTGCAGCTGATGTCGCCTGGCTTGTGCAACGCCTTGGAGCATTCACGGGCAGCCTCAACATGTTTTGGCGCTTACTGGCCACTGAGCTGGACACCAACTCCGTCAATGCGCTGATTGAAGCCATTGTCAATCCGCAGTCCACACCCTCCACTCAGCCACATCACGACAGCAAGGACGTCACAGGAGCAGAAGGGCACAGCATCACGTATTTTCTCTTCACAACGCACGACCACATCATGGATTGGGCCGACCACGTGTCCTCCTGTCTTTTGTTGGAAGATGCGGAGCGTCTTGCAGAAGAATTGATAGGCGACAGGATCGGCCTGGCATTGTCTGCTCCTGAAGTGGTCCGTCAAGAAATTGACCCGACCGTCGCCAAAATCACCTGCAAGTGTTTCGTCCGTTCACTGCTACCCATGTGGACGGATTGCGTGCCCAGTGCCAGTACACAGATGTTGCACGACTGCCTAACCAACGTCGGAGTTGGATCGGCCATTCGATGCTTCACCGTCACTCCCACGTCGAATCTGCCTACAGTTCATCCACACGACGAACCAGCTCAGCCAAACGCAGCCCAGGACAACGTCAGTGCCGCGGAACGAAGACAACGAATCCTCTACGCCTTCCGGATCTTCGCCGAGCACGTCAACAACAAGCAAAGCAGAATCGAAGACATCCCCAGCATGCAAGCCATCATCAAGCAGTACGGAGTAGATTTCGACGGCGTTCCTCTCTCGCCCTCCGACTGTCAGGCCATCAACGCAGTCATGATTCACCACCACCAGTTCATCACCTGCATCAGCCTGCAGAACTGTGGTATAGGTGATACCGGGTACGCATGCATGGCTGATGGCATGGCTCTACTACGCAATCTTACGCTCATCAACCTGCAACTTGTGCAAGGAAACAACCTAACAGATCGTCACACGGCCCATATCGCAGCGTGTATCGCATCCAACACGTCAACACTGCAAGCACTCTACACATGCTGGAACCTGGTCAGCAGCAATGCTATGGCCACCGTCCACAGCAACACACACCGCTGTACAGGACTGCTGGCAGTGGACTTTGGAGGTCAAAAGTGCACCGATCCATCAGTCAACCTTGACGTCATCACCACAGTCTGCAGCAGCTGCCCAGATCTCCAGTACGTCTATCTCTTTGACTACGTACTGGATATGGAAGGTCTAACCCAGCTAGCACCATTGTTAGGAGCACTGAGGCTGGGATGGCTGTGGCTGAACAAGGTTGGGATGAAGCAGAACTCGGCTACGATCGTCAGTAGAATCATTCAACAGCAACACGAGAGTTTGCAGGTCCTCTCACTCCATCGCAATGAGCTAACTGGAGATTTCCTGGAAACCATTCGTGGTGAGCTGAGTCAGTGCCGACGCCTAGAGAAGCTGTACCTGGACGACGACTGCCTCTCGTCGGGAGCTCTGCCGGTGCTTGCGTCCCTGCTGCCCAGTCTGCCCAAGCTCTCCGTGCTCAGAGTTACGAGGAATGATTTCCGAGGTGCTGACGACGAAGCAAAGCTGTTCGCCCCCGCTGTCGAGAGCTGCTCGTCTCTGAAGGAGCTGTGGATGCCTGAAAGTGCTCTAGTGTCTCCACGGCTGCGCGATGCTCTAAGTGCCATGGCCAGAGATGATCTGAATTTGCAGTATTGGCAGTTTCGCTGGCCTGATGAAGTGGAGAATGACGAAGAAGAAGACGAGTATGGCGATGAAGGAGAAAGTGAGAGTGAGGAATGAGGAGGTGAGAGGATTGACATGGACGGATTTCTGTCCTCATGCAGAAAGCTTCGTTTTCGTCTATCACTTCTTCCTGGCATACATTCCTTCTGTGTATGTGATTAGTAGTACACGTGTGTATGTGTGCATGCGTGGTAGTATTGCCGTGTGTGCGTGCTTGTATGTGCGTGTATGTATAATAATTGAGCGTGTGTGTTGTGTGTATGCATGTGTGTCTGTACGTTTGTGTTACCGATGGACATTCCTTTCTTCATTTTCAGTCAGTTTGAGGGATCACTATGTTGACCTTTGACCTTTAGACTTTGGACCCTGTAAATAGATGTTTTCGCTCCGTGATTTTTTTCGATAATTCTGGACTGTCACTGATAGAATTATTGTCATTGAATTGTTGGTTTTTGTTGATGTGGTTTTAGTTGATATGTGTGATCATTTCTTTGCATATACATGTACATATACATTGTATGTCTGTTTGTATGTTTGTAGATTGTTTAGTGAATTTTGTTTAAATGTTTCTTGTATAGAGTGAGTAGAAATGAGAGAATAGAAAACACAGGTGAAAATGATCATTGAGAACTAATATTGATAGCATCATCACCTTGCCACTCACATAGTTCTTACTTGTGCATAGTGCAATGTCTTTACTGGTGGCAGGTTTCTTGGCAAATATTTTCATCTGGTAATCGTGTAGTAATGTTTAGATGTTTTTTTGCAATTCACTAGTTTCCTCTCTAGTGGGATCTCATGATGATATTAGAATTATATGACGAGTATTCTTCAAGTACGTGTGTGTGTATAATACACACATACAAATTATTATAGTTATTGTGTTCGTACATGTATATGCGTGCGTATAATGCACGTGTGCATGCATGTGGATGTATGTGTGTGTGTGTGTGTGTGTGTGTGTGTGTGTGTGTGTGTGTGTGTGTGTGTGTGTGTGTGTGTGTGTGTGTGTCGTGTAGACCAGGCTGAATAGTGGCGGTCAATTCTTCAGCCTTGCAAGCTGTTCAATGATGCAATCCCAGCACAAGTTGCTATGGCTTCTGCTGTAGCATCGCTATCATTGACTCGGATGATGGGTGTCAGAACGTCAAAATAGGTGTGTGTGTGTGT